TTGAGATAAGTTGATGTCCTGTTGTTAAATTCTAGGCTTGAACACAAACCCTTAACCCAGAGAAACCAATTCAAGCAAGCAAAAACAAAAGAGAAATCCAAATAATTAATCTTGAACACAAACATCATTAGGCTTGAACACAAACCCAACAAAAAATACAACACAGCAACTCATCTGCAACCATCACCAACAAATTCAAATAATTTAAACAATAAATTCAAAATTCAGAATTAAGGATTCAGAATTCAAAATATTCAAAATTCAAAATTCAAGCAAACAGAAAGTCCAAGGAAACAGAAATTCAAAATTCAAAATATTATTAAGGATATCGATTTTCAATATCTGTTTCCTTTATACATATATCCATAATGATATACTTTAACAATTCCATAATGATATGAATACATTATAAGAGAATACTGTGCTGTCTAATATTATTTATTTAAAATATTTTAATGATATAATCAAATATTTAATATGTTTATTAGATATGAATACTTTGAGACAAGTTGATGTAGCAACTCATCTGCAACTATCACCAACAAATCCAAATAATTTAAACAACAAATTCAAAATTCAGAATGAAGGATTCAGAATTCAAAAATCAGAATGAAGGATTCAGAATTCAAAATATTTAAAATTCAGAATTCAAGCAAACAGAAAGTCCAAGGAAACAGAAATTCAGAATTCAAGATATTATTAAGGATATTGATTTTCAATATCTGTTTCCTTTATACATATATCCAAGGAAACAGAAAGTCCTTAGGACTTATTTTGAATTAGAAAGTACTTTTTCTCATGTTTCATTATTCAGAAACCAGTTCAAATACATATATCCAGTACTCATGTTTCCAATACATATATCCAAGGACTATACACCAATACTCTGTTTCCTTTATTTTAGACTTAAGCTATACACCAAGTCTTGCCCTTTTTGTTCAATCAAGTCTACTATTTCGGAGCAGAAAAAGGGATGATTAAGCAAAAAAAAAGAGCAAAAAAAGGGAAACACCAGTTAATTGTGGAGGGTGATTGATTAAAAAAATCAACACTACAAGCCAAGACATGAAAGACATGAAAGATGTTGTTGAACGGATCACTCCAGCTGAAAATGCAGATGATTTTCTATGTTTTGTCCAATCGTATTCTATCCATTCTAGTTGTTCTTCTCGTTGGTTGGTTGTTCTTATCGTTGGTTGTTCTTAGTTGTTCTAGTTGTTCTGGTTGTTTTACCTAAAAGACAAACCAAAAAAAAAAAGAGAATGAAACTAAAACAAATGAAATATAGATCTATTCTGGTATGATGCAATAATAATAAGGCCAAGAGAAATAAGTGAACTGTTTGGAACTCATAACACTAAAATTGCTTGAAATGTAAAGAACAAACACATGAGATCTAAAGTCATCAAATGAGAATTACAAATCAGAAAAAAATCAAACACAACTAAATTCAATTAGAATCTTATGGTTTAATGAAATGGAAAGCAAATGATTAGAAGCTAAAACAACAACATCAGAAAATGAAAGTGCTGATTGATAGACAGCGAGATTTAAACATAAATTGATGAATCAAAATACATTGAATCCCAGACAGAGAAAGAACAGATTTTATTCCTGGAAAATTTAATTGGAGCGCTATTTTCTTTGAAAGAAACAAAAATGAGAATCACAAATCAGAACTTAATGAAACACAACTAAAAAAATATCAAAAGCTTCAAATTTTCCAAATATTAAGCATATTATCATTCTGACATGGGTAAATCGATTTGATAAATCAGATTCACGATGAACAAATGGAAATGATGGTAGATCTAACCTCGGAGACTGAGAAAACAAACCCAGAAAACATGTATTAGAGAAAATGAGGAACTCCAAATTTTATCAATTGTTTGTGAAAATGGCGACTGGAGCTATTTCAGCATCGTTTACGGCTCTGAAGAGCAGGGACCATGGCTTAGGCAATTAGAATGACTAATAAAAAAACAGATTGATGACTAATAAAAAATGTAGAAGCACTGATGACTAATAAAAAACAGATTGATGATTGAGTCAATTTTATTCTTATTCTTTAGTTACCAAAGCAAAAAAAAAACTAACCCAGTGCCAAAGTGCCGGAGTGAACAACGGTGCTAAAGTGCCGGAGTGCCAGAGTGAGAACGGTGTAAGCTCTGATGAAGGCTCTGATTTGAACAACGGTGTAAGCTCTGATGAAGACAAAAGCTGAGATTTTCAAAAAAAATCAAGAAGAAGAACGGAGAGTAAGAGAGAGATAGAGAGGGTAGGCAGACAAATAGAGAGGGAAGGTGGGTAGACAAAGGGTAGATGGGGAGACAGAGGTTAGATACTGAGAGAGAAGAGTGGAGAAACATACAGTAGAGTCCTGGGCGGGAACATCATCTGAAGAATTGATCTGAGCCATGGATAGATATTAGAATTGATCTGAGCCCTTCAAAGGAAATATGTCTCTCATACATTTTTTACATTTTCAAAAACCCTTCTCCTTTATTATATAGATATTTAGCTATATATATAATACATCCATTATATATAGATCATTGATTACTATTCATTATATATATATTTTTATAGCAATAGATGTATATATAATGGATAGCAATTGTCCATTATATATATATATAGATACATCCATTTTTATTTTAACAATTGATTAGCTTTTGTGTCTCTCTGTAATTTGTTCCTCATATATTTAGCTGTCTATGCTGAAAGAGATCTTACCCTTTTCCTCTGGTTGCTAACAAACAAATGCAGGGGTTTAGAAAAAAAAGCTTGATATATCTTACTCTTTTTTTAAAATTTTGTTTAGCATTTCTTGAATCTACAATTGAAATTTAGTTGCTTGCTTGCTGCTTCTACAGAGAGAACCCTTCATTATTTTTTTTTTCCCATCGAATTTGATTCTAAATTTGAGTTAAAAGCTTCATTTGATATGAAATATTCCAATCCTTTTATCAAATTTTTATTAAAATATTTTTAGAAGTTTCACGCTTATCCCAAATTTCTTTTTTCATCAAATTTGATGGAAAAAAAATCACCTCCAATGCTTCATTTTTTTAATTTTCATTAACTTCTAATTTGATGAAGGATTTGATGAATTCCTAATTTGATAAATATATATATATACATATATATATGAATGGATTGGATGAATGGATTGGAGATGAATTTTGAGCATGTTTTTTTTTTATCATCTTCATACATCTTCATATATCTTCATATACAATACATCTTCATATATCTTCATATATAATACATCTTCATACATCTTCATATACATCTTCATAAAGGATTGAAGATGTATATATATAATACATCCATTACTGATTTGTGATGTGTTTCAAGGTGTGAGTGGCAATTTGGCTAAAATCTTCATATCAGTGGAGCTTCATTCTCAGTTAATGGAGTTGTTTTCAATTTTTAATAACTCAGGAGTTGTCTTGGGTCTTCATTCTCAGTTCTGCTAATTTTTGCTGATGTCGTGTGCTGTTTTGCTGGGGTTTTTGCTCTGGTTTTGGGGTTTTTTTTTGCTCTGTTCTGTTTGATTAAGCTACTGCTGCTGTGGTGGTTTTAAGTTTCTGTTGCTGTTGTTGAGTTGTTTGCTGCTGTGGTTACTGTGCTGCTGTTGGTGGTTCATTAGGCTTTGAGTTGCTGTTGCTGTTGTTGAATTGTTTGCTTTTTAGTGCTTTGCGTTTTAATTATATATCAATTTCTATAGCTATCTCTACATCTGTGTAAATTCTTACTATATACAGGTTCAATTTTTTCGAGATTGAAATGTTAGTGTTGCAATCCACGATGAGCGGGACCTTTATTTCTTTTTATTCTGTTAATAAATTTTATTTCTTTTTCAAAAGGAAAAAGAAAAGGCTAAAGTGTCTTAACAAAAAAGAAAATGAAAGCCACGCAGGAATGGGAACACAAAATGTATCACAAATGGTATGGTTCTTCAATCATTACTTTTTGGTTCTTCAATCATTATATTTTGGAGCATGCATAACCTATTTTAGTGTAAAGTTTCTAAAGATGAGCATGGTTCTTTTCTACTAAATGATTTTATAAATTTTATCTATAAATTTTTCTTATAAACTGAAAGTGTATTTTTGTAGTTGCTATGGTCCATTTCTTATTCTCTCTCTCTCTCTCTCTCTATTTTTTTTTCTTTTTCTTCAGGACCGCTGAATCTCATTTGTGATTGGTAGCAGTAGGCCAATAGAGGTGTGCTTTGTTTGGTGTCTATAACTTACTGTGAATATATCTTTGCTTATACTCTACAAAATTGAAGACTCTTATGAAATAGTTTTAATCGAGTGTGACATAGTTTTTAAAATTTCTTATTGTTGACTTAAATTGAAAAACTTCCTTTTTTCTATAAAATTTTGTAGTGCTTCCAATATCAGGTAATCCATTATATTGTCATTGTTAACTTAGTTTTAGTTGCCAAATCCTTGGACACATTATTTGGAGTTTGGATTTACAGAAAAACAAGAAGCATGAAGGGAGAAGTGGAGATGAAAATGGGAACATGGTGGATACATCTATTTTGGATTGGAAGAATTAGTTTCTGCTTGCTGAGATGGAAATTGTCATTACTCAATTTCATTTTGCAAGTTCTGATTTGAATTTCTTAAATAAAATAAGTTTTGAATTTTGGATTTGATTGTTTTAGCCATGAGCACCTTATTACAAACTGTCATAGGCTGCTTCTTTTTCTTCTTCTTCTTCTTTTTCTTCTTCTTTTTTTTTCTTATTTTTTTTATAAAAAAAACAGCATGCTCTATTGGTTTTGGTTAACACTCGCTTCTTCTCTCATTCTTTCACACATAAAGCCTATTGGGTTTTTGTCACTTTTTTTTTTTAAACCAACGTTATCTTTTTGGTTTGGTTTGCCCTCTGTTTTTCTCATTATTTCACACATGAAGTCTATTGGGTTTTTGTCACTACATGCACAATTGGATGTTGATTTTTAATCAATACATATGTTGATTTTAATGGGTAAATTGTATTGATATTTGATAGCCTGAAGAGTGGTGGTTTTTCTGGGACATATTATTGCTGGGACTAATAAGAAGATTTGGGAGTAGTTGCATTTTACATTGAGGTTGGTCTGAGAATTTTGTTTTGTCAGAATTATATTTCTCGGGCTATGTTTTATTGGATTGAATTGTTCTTTTATGTAACAGTTACCATAAAGTTACACTCTATCTATAAGGCATTGGTTTAAGTTTGGATTAGAATATATTTGGGAATGGCTTTAGTCACAAGTAAATTATCTATTGGAGGGCTCTAGAAGCCTTTTACTTTGGCCATTTTTTAGGAAACAATTTCGATTTCTTTGTCAATATTTTCCATTTAAAGTATACATGGGAGTGCCTTTCTCCCTTTAATAATTAGTTTTCCTAAATTTCAGTTTGTTTCTTTCCGCCATTTTCATGTTGTGTTGTGTCTTTTTGTTGTAGGTCATCAATTTATGGGTTTTCGATATAATCAAAGGTATAAACTCTAAGCGATTTTTTGTTTTCTATTATATCTGTTTCATTACTCAAAATTTTAGAAAATTTATTTTTTTTGGGGTCTATTACTTATTGGGTCTTTTGTTGGATCTTTTGGTATTTTGTGCTCTTTTTTTTCCCTCCACCCCTCTCCTTCTCTTTTTCTCCTTAATCTTTCTTTCTTTTGAATTTATTTGGGTTTTTGGTTTATATCCATTTTATTTACAAAGAAACTATAAATTGCAAACATTTTTTTCCCTTCCCCGTCTCTATCACATTTGTTTTAATCCCCATTGAAATAAAAGCTAACAAAATCATAGTGTATTGTTTTTGTTGTCCCATTGTTCTTCCTACATATGAGCTCATTTTTTTCAAAATATGATTCAATTGGTAAGAGAAAATATGTGTGCTTATTTTTTATCAAGTGCATTAGATGATTCAAAAAATAGTATAATGATTCTGTTTTTGATTCAAAAAATGGTAATGTTTTTTTGTTTTTTTTTTCCAGTTAAATTCTCAACCTTAGAGCTTTCTTTTTTTTTTTTTTATAGAAAATTTGTGTTAGAATGTTTGGTGCTGCTTCTGTCAATAACTTATGAGATTTTGCTTAATTATGTTGTATGTGTATCTTTTAATTTTGTTTTGTTGGGAAAGAGTTGTTCGATGTTCCGATTGTTCTCTCACCTTCCCTGACGAGGTCGATCTCTCTCTCTCTCTCTCTCTCTCTCATGCAACCAAACCTGAGGCTTCAAGGTTTGATTGTTTATCTGGGTTTAAACTAGGTTTATTGTACACAGATTGAGGAAGAAGATAGATTATAACTTATACATCCATCCAAAATCCAACACATTTAACAACTTTTGTCATTAAAAATAAAGAGCAAAATTGGAGAGAAGTTAACCTTTGAGTTCCGGATGAGGCACAATCTCCAAATAATCATTAAAGAGAAAAAAATAAAATAAATTTGGCCAACTACGTGAAGGATGATGATTTAGAATGAGCATTTTTTGATAAACTATTTTGGTTCGAGAATGATTAAGTTGCTAAACTTCGATATAGTTTTTGGTCTTATAGGTGATGAGAACGCTAATGTTTTTGGATAGAAACATTTGAACAATAATAGATTATGGTGCTGCTGCTGTTTGAGGAAGCTGTTAAAGGAACTCATTGTTGTCAATATGTAAGCATTGAAGCCCTATTTTGTTGATAGTCTATTACTTTCATTCGTTGTGTAAGCTAATAGTGGTGTTGCAATAATCATGACTTTAGTCTTGAAGAATAGCAGTATAAATTTTTATGTGTACTATTTTTGGCTACCGAGGCACTAAATGTTGATCTGTGTCTCTTCCCCATAGAAACTCTTTCCAATATTTCTTCTTCTGTTCGGTAAGGCACTAAATGTTGGCAATGGACCATATTTTCTTATTATTTTATTTTCTTAATCCATTAGAAATTATAGCAGTGTGCTTGCAGCTACATATTGATAGTGGCATGCAACAAAGGACACCGATTTATGTTATGAATTAAAGTACTTTTTATTATTATTATTATTATTATTATTATTATTATTTCCATTTTAGGTTTGATGTTATGGTTATATCTTGAGAGGTACTTTATTATATAGATTTGGGCTGCCATTCTCTCTCTCAATCTGGGTTTATTTCCTGTTCTTCAACTGGTTTTCCGCTTGGGGTTTCAATATGTTTCTGCCTTTTCCCTTCTCTCTCTGTTTTTTTCAGCTCTGATGGTTGTGTTTGTTTCCCTAGCATTAAGCAATTGTGGTGCTGCTATTGTTGGGAAAATTGTAAAACACATGCTGCTGTTAGGAAAATTGTGGTGTTGTTGCTGTTGAGAAAGAATCGAATTGTTTGAGGGATTTAACCCATGTTAACCAGGTAATTTGATTTCTCTTTCTTTCCCTTTCTCTCTATCTCTATTTCTTTTTGGCTCTCCTTTCTGGAATAGCTATGCTCACATTTTCTGCCAAAAAAAAAAAAAAGAGTATGAAGAGTAATTGAGTTATTGAGTAAAAAAAGAAGAGTAATTGAGTAATTGTATGTGAAGTCTGACTTCTTCCATGATTTTTTTTTTTTTGAATTGTTGGTGCTGTAAAATGTTCTATTTTGGGGTTGGAATTGGATTGTTTTACTATGAAGCTTTTGGGTGGGGCTGTTGGCAAAATTAAGGGTTTAGTTGAAGTGTTGGTAAATTGGTGTTGCTGAAGTGCTGAATTTGGAGTTTATTTGGGTTACTAATAAATTAGTGTTTCATTTGAGTTTCATAGAATTTTGATTCTTCCATGAATTCACTCCCTACTCTTTCAAAAGAAAAAAAAAAATTGTGCTGTGTTGTGTGACTCTTTTGGGTGTCTATCCACTTCAGATTTCTTTTGTTGTGTTTCTTTAGATGTTTGTACCAACTGTTTTTTTTTTTAATATTATAAAACTTGCAGCTTTCTTGCTATTTTGAGGTTATAAAAATATATAAGCCTTTGGTTGGATTGTAAGGGTTGAGAAAAGAATGGAAGTGACACAACACATCACATTGGTTTACTGCATGTAAAGGCATTACTGTTATGGATATAAACTGTAAGCTATGAGATTAAGGCCCTTGATCACCCATTTTGATTTATTTTAATTCATTTTGGACCATAATGCATCTTGCAAGTAGTCTGTAGTTTATGGAAAATTTTACTTTCCTATATGATCCAAAGGTTTAGTCATGGAATTCTTGGGGTTTGTTTAGAATTTCTTGGGTTGTGTCTGTTTGTTTTGCCTCTCCCTTCTCTTCTCTATTTGATTACTAACTATTAAACCTATTTTGCTATCAGTTTCTTCATTTTCATTTTGGTTGTTTTAGGATTCGTTTGAGAGTGGAATGAACAAGAGCCTAATTTCCTCATGCTACGAACAATTAATCAAGCTGTCATGTGCTTGAATGTTTTTGTTGTTTTATTTTATTTAAATTTTGTCCTTCACAAACTTCAATTACATTACACATCACATTGGTTTACTGCATGTAAAGGCATTACTGTCATGGATATAAACTGTAAGCTATGAGATTGAGGCCCTTGATCACCCATTTTGATTTATTTTAATTCATTTTGGACCATAATGCATCTTGCAAGTAGTTTGTAGTTTATGGAAAATTTTACTTTCCTATATGATCCAAAGGTTTAGTCATGGAATTCTTGGGGTTTGTTTAGAATTTCTTGAGTTGTGTCTGTTTGTTTTGCCTCTCCCTTCTCTCTATTTGATTTCTAACTATTAAACCTATTTTGCTATCAGTTTCTTCATTTTCATTTTGATTGTTTTAGGATCCGTTTGAGAGTGGAATGAACAAGAGCCTAATTTCCTCATGCTACAAACAATTAATCAAGCTGTCATGTGCTTGAATGTTTTTGTTGTTTTATTTTATTTAAATTTTGTCCTTCACAATATCACAAATTTCAATTACATTTTGATCCTAACATTATTTACAATGTTGCTTCAGTTGCCTTCATTATTGCTTATAAAACGTTGTTGTCAGGTGTATTTTATTGTTTTAGAATTGCCAATTACATTATTGCTTTACTTGCCTTCCCACCCTCTGTTTCTTCCCAGTCCGACAAAGGCAATGGAAACTAAATCTATTCTACTTAGCTTCCTTTGTTAATTTTTTAAATAGAACTCTGTGGTGATCGTTCTTGAATATATGTGTGAGTCTATAAAGTTGGATCAAACTGAGTTTTCTCAATTGTGTAGTTGTATAAATTATAATTATAATTACAATTTGATCCTAACATTATTTATACTGTGCCTTCAGGCACGGGCATATGCTAGTATATATATATATATATATAGAGAGAGAGAGAGAGAGAGAGATGTCAATGTAATCTATGAATGTATCTATCTATGTATCTCATGCTTTTTGCAGGTACTGTGTGAGAAACAAAGAAGCTTGTAGAGAGAGAAAATGAGGAGGAACACAAGAACATAAGAGAGTTTAGGAGTGTTTGTGTGGTGTGGTGAGTGGTCCGGATCATTTGTTGTTGCCGTCACCGCCTTCTAGCCTGGCATTGCCATCGTTCTTATGGTGTATAGGTTGCCTTGCCAGTCCAAACAGCTTGGGATCATGAAAGGTAGAAGAATGGTAGGGTTGTAATTTTAGAGACTTAGGCCTCGTTTGGGAACAGTTTTTTTTAGTAACTTTTTGGCTTTTTGGCTAAAGTACGATGGAAAAAAAACTAGTATGTTTGGAAAGACTTTTTGATTTTTTACGAAAACATGTGCAAAAAGTAGAGAGAAAAGGAAATCTTTGACTTTTTGGTATAGGTTGTTAGGTTTTTGATTTTTTTAGTAACTTTTTGACTTTTTGGCTAAAAAAGACACTTGCCAAACGAGGCCTTACTAGGGTGTTTTGATCTGGAAAAAATAAGTCTCATATTCATAATAAAGGAAATTTTAGTTCCATATACCTAATTATCTTAGTGCACACACTTAATAAAATATTATTTTAATAGTAATTATATTATAAACTAAAATGACCATAATGGACATCCACTAGCACCTATAAATTATATGAAAATATCATTTATACACATCTTTTTTTTTAAAAAAAAAGAGAAGAATTTTTTTTAAAAGAGAAGAAGAAAAAAAAGTAAACCCTAGTTTTTCTATTGTTGTCACTTTGTTTGTTACACACTCTATGCTTCTCAATTGTTTACAAAGCAATACTTTCATAACAACTCTCATATTGATTTAATCTCTAGATTTATACTCTATTAGTGATGAAAATGTTAGTTTTTTCGAGCAGAACTTTTTTTTTTTACGATTTTCAGTCAGACAACCAATGTTGAATTATTTCATTATATTCGGATATCAATTGCTGAAAGTTTTTTTTAAAAAAAAATCTTTTTGGGAACAAAATTTTCGAACTAATCACTTTTATTCAGAAGTTAAGTTTTGAATTAAATATATAATTTCAGAAAATCAGTGCCGAAATTCCCAAACTAAAAAACTTAAAAAAAAAAAAACCCCCGAGAGTTTTGTGGCAATGGAATGCACAGAGATCTGAAAATGATAAATACAAAAAAAAAAAAATGGTAAATGTAATAACAAAATAGAAAAATGCCTCATTTACAACAATATTTTGGAAAGTTTTCAATAGAGGTTCAATAGAATTTTCAATGGAGGTTTTCAATGGAGGAGTTTGTCTTGTTTTCACTTCACTTCACTTCACATTGTAGTCTTGAATGATTTTCACGTGGGTTTACAAATTTGAAAGCAGGATCACTCAACAAGTGTGTGGAAAAGAGGGCTGAGTAATGTGTGTACAATGATTATGAGTAAATGGTATAATTGTAACTTTTAGTGTGTGGATTGAGAAAATTAATTAATAATTAAATTAATAAGTATGTGTACTAAGAGAAGATGTGCAAAGTAATTAAGTGTATAAAAATAAAATTTCTCTCATAATAACTCTCAACAGATGTGCGTGAATTACACCTTTGGTCAGTTTTATTTATATTATTCATAATACACTAGTTACAACTAATATTATTATTATTATTTTTTAAAGTCAATCGTAAAAATTTATGTGAAATATTTTTATAAAAATTTTCAATATTGTAATTGATAAGTGTCCCCTCTGATTTAATTTCTTAACTCTGCCATTTAAGTGAATATCAATATGTATATATTTAAGTGATTTTCCTTAAAATAATTATTAATAAATTTTTTAAATTTAAATTCATAAATTCAAATGCAACTTGGATATCAATTTCATTTTAAGTCTGAATTTGATTTATCTCTTAAAAATGTCTTCGAATTATCGTTTTGTATTAAAAAACAGGCTCTTTTTCCCTTTCTTGGTTGAAAAATTCCTAGTCTTGACTTGTCCCTCTACGATGAAACTGTGCGTTTGAAATAATTATTCATTATCATATTTGGCAGTCGTGAGCATGTTACAAATCAATTTGGACTATTTATTTGTATAAAAGATTCACATCTTCCTGTGAAACTTGCAAGACAATGATAATTTAATGTTATTTGATTTTATGCCTCCTATGACCTGACTTTGCATAAGAAAATACTTAATGTCAATTATGAGGTTAACTAAATAAATAAAAAAAATATATCATATGATTATGAAATAAGAATATGCTCAAACCTTTAATTTCATTTGTGGAAAGACTAATTTCCATGATTGCAATGTAAACATCCACAATTTGATAGATGAAATACGATAAAATACAATTTTAATCTCTAAAGTATATGTTTTTTGTCATTTTAATTTCTTAAATTACATTGATAATGAGAAATAAACATAAAAAATAATTTTAATTCTTAAAATATGTATTTCTTGTCATTATGATCTCTTAAATTTTAATCTTGTCATATTAATTATCAAAATAGTCAAAATCCAGACAAACAACAGTACAATGAATTTAGCTCATATTGTAGTGTGTCAGTGAGCTTTTTGATATAACAAAAAGGTAAATTATATATACAAATTTTTATATTTGTTTAAAATATAAATTATTTCTTATAATTTTAAAAATTACATCATGTTGCTTGAAATATTTAATTTTTCTCTTTTATTAACAAATATTAGGTCAATTAACAATTTTTAATAATAGCAAAAAATTATTTTAATTAATAATTTAGATAATTTTATTATTTTATAGGAGAGTAGTTAAGAAATTTATTTTTCAATTAATTATATTAAATAAAAAATTATGACAATGAGATATTTATAATTTTTCAAACCATAAAGGATAATTCATATTTTAAATAAATCTCAGATAGTGTATTTGTAATTCACTAAAAAATATTTATTTAGACCAATATTATATATTAAAAAATAGATAAACTTCACTTTACCCTTATGGTTTGGGTAGGGTGCGGATTACCCTAATAGATAAACTTCACTTTACCCTTATGGTTTGGGTAGGGTGCGGATTACCCTCTCGACATTTAAAAATTACCACATAACCCCTCGTGGTTACTGGATTGAAATGTACAGTTAACACCGTTAACAATAGAAGTAAAAAGACTATTTTGCCCTTATATATAACCTTGGTTTATTATTTCTCATTCAG